ACGAGTTAGTTGCATTTAGGCAGTAGCAGCAGGCGGAAGAGCAACAGTAACGTGCAAGGCAGGTTTAATTCAAACGAGGACGATGAACCTGAAGTAGCTGAGGCAGTCGTATTCCTTCTACTACTGCTACGCCTGCCGCCTCACCGCCAGATAGCAAACCCATTCTGCTCTGAGTGCGCGAGTAGTCAGTTCTTATTTTTTGCCTGTTCTGATTTCGTCTCAATTAGCAAGCTCTATCTACTGGCTAAATATCGAAACCTGCCCTGCATTGCAAAGAGGTCGTACATTTATCATCTTTATTCTTAAATAAATTAATAATGATAGCTATGAACTATGGTAACTGTACTAATATTAGAATGTTCGTAAATTTCACAGTTATGCATTAGCTTATCCGGAGCCCTGTGGCAAATTAGAAAAATTGACAAACTTAAAGTAAGTTAGTAGGCAAAATTTTGTAAATATTTACATTACGTGTTTGGCTATTTACGACTATAAGCTGGCTGGCTAGGTGCTATGAGGGAAGCTATATAGTGAGGAAAATGCTAACATAATTAGAGGGACAAACATTTGGAGGTTGGGGAACTACGAGGTTAAGCGAGTGCATCTAATGGCTTTCGTAATAATGCCCACGAAACTACTGAGCCGGAAGTTTTGAGAAACTACTAACAGAGAGTCGGCTAGGAAAGACGTTCCACGTGTCATCAGACAACGAGTGATACGTTTAGAGGCAAACATATAGATAAAATTAATTCTAGTATTTAGTTATGTTTCTCGAAGGTCAGAGCGTTGTGAAGTCTATCAAAGATCGGCGAAAACACTCGTGACTAGGTCTTGAACAAACCAATAATTCGCTGTTGGTTCGTTCAAGACCTAGACTTCAAAACAGAAATTCAGAGACTGCAAATCGCTAAACGGAAAGGGAATTCGTGCAGTTACAGAAGTTTTTCAGAAAAGCATGAGAACATGCGCAATAGACCTTTCACAGTTTAATACAGAATTCTTCGGAATACGTATTTTGAAATTGTAACGAAAATATTAAAAATGAAAGAGAAATTTAAATATGGGTTTCTCATAAGCTACGTCCTGAACAGATGAAACGCGCGTGTGCACTTCAGAGATAATTTACGGAACTATCAGTAAAGAACCCGTCCGAATTTTACCACCGAAATAGGCGAAACATGAGTTAACTGGGCCATCCACTAGCAGGGATCAACGAAGAGAATGAGAAAGTAGGTTTGGTGGCAACACCGAGCAGATTGGAGTGTAAACTTATCGTCATGTTCAAAACATTACGAGACCTTACACGAAAAGATAAACCGTCAACGCTACCAGATATCTTACATTTTTTAAGGGTCTCGTACGACGCAGCTTTCCACAGCATGCAACATAGTTTCTTGACGACAACACACAACCCCATTGCCATGCCTCGTTCAAGCCTGGATCGAAAAAGACAGACTTCAGCAATAGCTTTAGCCCTCATGTTTTTCAGAGTTAAATCCGTGTAATCTTGGGTGCTTTCATGTCTTGAAGAGAACGATAGGTGGGGCACATCTAACATATTGCAAAATGTCGTTGCTCTGCCTTAGACAACTTATACATTTTTTCTCATCGACTTGTCTTGCTGGGTGCTAGATGTAATGACTGTAACTTCTTTTTCTCAGGACAAACTTCGACCCGCTACGCATACAGGCAGCCAATATAATGTGCTTATTATTGGTCGTAACAGGAACTATTGTAGACATCGTCACAGAAGCTAGTATGTATTGAGGGTAGCAAGAATTATGGAGGGCCCGTGAAGAAAGCCTGAACCATACTGCTGCCGAGCTTATTTTTGCAATACATCACCAAAAATTAGATAGATGCATTCGAGGAGTTAGCTTTATACAAACCCTCAATTGTGGTGTGAATTTTTTCAACTCATGGGAAAAGACGATTATTTTAATGGAAAAATACTAGCCAGATAGGGTGATCGTCCGGTATCAAAAACAGCGGTCTTCTAAAGCATCACGACTTCGAGTTCACAATATTGCTTTTCGATTAGATTATAAGGGCAATATATTAAGGGTGGCTTCTGAAGACTTGAACATCTTTGAGTAGCCTCTTCCTCAGCCCGCCATACTGTTAAATGAGGAGCTAGGTTGGAGGTGATCAAGGTAGAAGAATGATTATATATATACATATAGATTGCATAGAACATGCATTGTGTAGAAAATATTTCTCCTGTCTGAGAAGATATCTCTAGAACGCACGAGTCTTACGATGGCGATGTTGTTAAAAGTAATGTGCACGCACATACACATATAGTAAGCACGAAGTTGGAAAGGAATCTATACAGGCAAGGTAGGGCAGCACTATATACAGATATATTGTAGAGGTTGTTCAAAACACGTTATAGGCAGGACATTTCAGAAGCAGGAAAGGCTGAGCACAAAGCAGAAACGGAGGCAAAGGAGCTGCTCTGTCTTCAAGCCGTGTTCATTGACAAGCCCTCGTTGGCGATTTCAACTGAAGGCTTCATAAGCCTCTTGCCGTAGCCTAAAAGCTCGTACAAGTCGGTCTTTCAACCGCCTCCTAAAGTATCCTACCGTTGAGCCCCTTTCTCGCCATCCCGCCGCTTATCCAAAAGCCAAGCTACACGTCACTCGCCAGGTATCAAATAGGTACTAGGTGAATTTTGCGCAAGACCTACTGTATTTTATATAAGAGGAGAACCAAGAACTTCTATTTTATGGCATACTACGCGTTCGCTATGCGCTAGAGTCAATTTCGGTATTGGCATATATCTAGCAAAGTTGTCGACTATGATTCTTTTCAACAATGCAAACAACTTCCTTTGCCTCTGCTAGCGGGAGTAGTGAAGCTCCTGCTGCTTCTGCATTCGGCGGCACGGAAGCGTATTCCTCGTTGTGTTCCTACAAACCGTATATGCCCTACTGATTGATACAGTTGGCACCGATGTAGCGGCTCACGGCAACTAGGGAGAGCACGCTGGCTGCCTGGCGAAAGAACAACAAAAGCTAAATTCTCTGCAATACGAAGGTCTGGTTAAACGAAATCGTCACCGCAGTGGCCAGGTGGCAGCACTTAGCTAGAAACTAGAAGCGCAGCATTCGTGGGTTATCTATGCGGACGCGTACAGCAGGTGACTAAGGCGGTGGGGGTAGTACTGCTACGACTAGACGAATCAAGTGCTGCAGGAAGCTGTGGGGTGTCGAATGAGTGGTGTGGAGGGTCGGCGAAAGAGAGGCGTAAGAACAGAAGAAAAAGAGCTAAAAAGCAATATACCACTCAGCGTGAGTCTCTTGATTCTCGAAAAGAAACCGGAAAGCGTACAACTGTACATATAAGACGACGCGGGTAAAACACTGGTGAACATTGTGTCTGCCGGACGGGGAATACTAAGGGCTGCCTGGGACACTTGCGTTGACGGAAGCCCATCCACTGTAGCGGGTTTAGTCTGAAAGCTGATAGACAGACTGACTAGCTAGCTTTCTGACTTTTCCTATCCAGTCTATGTATTGCCATGAACAACTGACGCTGCGAGTTAGTCGAGAGTTTCTTCCTCACAATCAAGTGTTATAGCTAATCTCCTGTTAGTAAGTGAGTATGTTGCAAAAAGATGTTTTGCCAATTCTATTTCTACTAAGTCAAGTACTAAAAATTAAGAATATCGTGTAACATAAACAAGAATAGGATAAAATCGAACACCATTATGAAGTATCTTAAGCTTGTCTCTTTAGTGATTTTTGACCAAAAATATTGTACGTGTGGATCTGTTATCCGTTACCAATAACACGGTCCAACTAATTGAATCTTAGTTCTGGTTATTTAGACAGTACATACTTCTTCTCAAACCTTGTGCCATGCACTTCAACTTACTTTACTACCGCATAATGCCAGATATATGTACGTACTTTCGAAAAATTTATATTAATGGTATATAATTTTAATCGAAACAATTTTTTTTATATAACATTGCATTTTGCATATATGTATAATTGAAAAATAACAAACCTACCTAGAACTTAAAAGTGGCAATGGGCGTCTAGTGCGTGTGATAACCGTAAACTAGTCTTGGTAAAAAAAAAAAGAGATGTTTTTCTTTTAAAAGCTATATAGGGTATTACCTAAATTTTAAAGTTTTTTTTTTTTAAATAACCTTTTGTTAAATTTTGTATGCGTTTTTCTTCTTAAGGCACATTACTAGGCGTGCATAAATCGCAAGCAACCGACTATTATTCCGACTGAAATTTTCTTGTGGAAATATTTGATTAGACCGTTTACAAATTATAGATATATTAAACAATCGTTTTATTGATAATGTGACATAAGATATTAAGTTTTCACTTTTCTGCATGATAGGCAGAACATAAACTGTCTCTAAAAGATGTTGACCCTAAGCTTAAAGCATTTTTGAAACTATTACACTATAAATCAGATGGATGTTTCGTCACGGTTGAGAACAAACGTTTATTTTGTGGCTCACATATGTCGGAATTCTGATCTAGCTTTCGACATTTTAGGAAGAAGATTAACAAGCTATACAAATGGTATCAGAAATTCACAGCAATCCCATGCAGTATATGACGGGTACAGACAGACATGCGCTGAAGTTCAATTGTATTGATTTGGCTTGTCGCAGAATCATACTTCTCAATTTAGAGGTTTATAAAATAACTGAAAGCTGTACTTGAGATAATCCTTCATGCTACAATTGATAAGCTCAATGTACGCTTCTCAAGCATAGGCTCCAGTACCGTGGCTTCCTTTGATACTTGAGCTGGCTTCCATGCGGATTTCCTGGCAGGCGAATTGCGCATCGTTGGGCTAGTTCCTAGTTTTAGGTGATTCGCGAAGGCACGAAAGCTAGCTAGAGCACTTTCTAAAAATAGAGGCCTTGACCCTTGTTTATCTATTAGCTAATGTAATCAATTTATCTTTTAGCACTGGTCACCGATGTCTTAATAAACGCGAGTATTTTCTTTTAATAAATATTGAAGGTAACCGTATTGGACCTGCCGACTACCGCTCTATATTCCTAATCGACTTTTGTTTAGGATCTTTGGGAGACCATTGACCGTTGCGGTGAACGTCTTGGAGCAGCTACCATTCATCTCATCCACTCAATTCTGCTTTCATTTCATTTCAATTAAACCTTCGTGGGCTCAACTTTTCCAAGGAGTCACCGATGCAGTTGAGAATTAGCAAGTCTATCTCTTTATATAGCAGTCTTTAATTGTTTATTTTACCAAGTCTCCCTTTATGCGTTAAAATGTCTAGGTTAAGCGTCGAACGTAGTGGTTCAGGCAACATCTTTCAGAACGAACATCGATGGGAGGAGCTCAGCATTCGAACATCTCCCGGGCTAACGCTTGATCCCGTGTTTATCGATTTTTATAAATGCCATTCAGCTAAAAAATCTAGACAATGGTAACTCGACAATGTTATTTAGCAGTTGCTTATAGGATGGCACTGCGATTAGCCAGACGCTACACAATTTCCGTATGAGGAGTCGGTTATCGGAGAACGACACTTGAAAATCAAAGTTTGGCATGTGTGATGATTCGAATAAAAAATCTCGAACGAATAAATCCAGCTTGCTCGATACATGTCTAAGGTTTTGATGGTTAGGTCGCTTTCCAAACGTTAGGTTTAAATTGGTAATACCTTTTGTTGTTCGTTAAACAGTAACATTATAGGCCTACTCCTATTCACCGTTTACCATCGGTCACTTCTCGTGCAGGACTCCTGCGTTTATCTCGTTGAGATAGCTTACGCGATGATTCATAAATGAAAAAAGAAAAAAAATTGTGTAACTACCAAAAAGTATCTGTAAAATCTTAGCGTAAATACCCTCCGTTTTCCGATGATATCGCTAATCTAAAATGCTGTGCTAACACGATTTCACTTTTACTATTCTTTTAATAAAGTTCTTATTAAGTTGCTAACAGACTGAGGAAACGTTTTACGGTAGGCTAACAGAAGCCTTGGCTGGCAAGGCCTAGTGAGTGGTGTACATAGGCAGGTAATAAGTTCGGCGCTCATAGACAAACGTCAGTGTTCATTGTAAATACGTCGCTCTCTTGTCTGCTATAGCTTTTTTACGAATTATTACTATTTTCAAAATAGACCTAAATTAAGGCACATTGATTTTAAACGATCTTTATCATATTAAGGAGTAAGTACCTAATGATACCGAAACGTTTGCATTGTAGCGGGAATTGGTCATTCTATATTTTTTGGTTCACGATGAGCACTTCGACGGCACGTGACTGTAACGTGTCTAGAAAGATGACTGTCGCTGACAATACTGCGAAAGACCCTGCGGTCGATATAATTTTTAGTACCGCTCTGCTATACCACCCTTTAACGTAAAGCCTTCTTAATAACCTTATAAATGAATGCCTTACTTTTACATGAATTGTCGTCTTGACAGAACGACCTTTATGAGAAAACTTTAAAAAGAAACACGAAGTGGTTAATTTAGTTCTATTAAAAGGTAGGTTTTTGCTAAAAGCGCAACGAAGTAGAGGTCTATTCTGGGATGATAGGTACTGATAGATTTACCTTGGAGAGATCTTATACAAATTAATTGACATTTCTCGTGAGGTTCATGTTTATTGTTGTGTAATTTGTAGGTACTTGTAAGGTTCCGCACAATGGCTTTTGTTAGCATTTCTATCCCGCATGTAGTGTTCGCGTGGAGAAGAGCCTTGGGCACTCACATAGCGAAAAATTCATTTATGTTATATTGATATTGTGACGTACGTAGCTTTACAGTTGTTTATGTATGTGACTGAATTATTGGACGACCAGACATTTGGAGTCATATAGATAAATCATCACACTGCCGTTCTTGAGGCTAATTCTCGTGACAGCTTATGTGCTTCAACTGGACAAGCGTATAAGCTAACACAGGCAAAGTTATATAACTAAAACCTTTCTTATATGTGGCTGCCTTCAACACTTTCATCAGTTTCCCCTTTATCATAACAGCGAAATATTCACTAATTATAGCATCTAGTTCTCTTGGTCTTCCTCGTTCAACCTTAACTGCATCGTAGCAACTGCATTGTATTTCGGCAACGCGGTGCATCGGCTACGCAAATAAGTCGTCCGTTTGCAGGAAGCTTCTCGGGAAGGGTTTCGGCGGCCTCTTATCTCAGTCCTTTCCTTTCCGTTACTTTCCTACTTAGGCTACCATACATCACTAGACAATTCGAAATTGAGACAAGACACTTTGCACTCTGTCCCGGCAGCTATTTGGCCCCACAGGAAACACCAGTACCACCCTTCTCTAACACAGATACTATCTACCGATGGAAAAGAAGGACCCTTCGCAGCGATACGCGCACCACCTGTGGAATCACATTTGTGTGGCATTACCTCTACCGCAATGACTATTAACAGACTAAAAAATCCCCATTCTCCGCTTCATTGTCTAGACTCCTACTATATCATACAGCTAACGCGCTGCATTATACCAGAAAGGCTGGTTGGCCATCTAGGAACACGAACGATACTCTACCTCGCCACCCCTTTTAAAAAATATAGGAGGATAAAGAAGAGAAGGACTCAGTCGAAAAGGACGATGGAGCCGGAGACAGTGGCAGGTTGGTAAAGGCGAACGCTAATGAAGAACTTCCCGTTCGGTGGGCGGGGTAGTGGAATCACCGAGAAGCAGACTCGACCGGAACAGAGTCGCGCGCTAGGCGTAAGCGAACAAATATGAGGATAGGTAGAAGCTAAGCAAGCGAACGAATCCTACTATACTACTCTAGTAATCATCTGTTTCATTTTAGAGAGGAACAACAACGCTCAGTCTTCAATGGATGGTTTACAGATCACCTACGTCGCCGTTCGCGCGCAACAGGTAACGGCCTTTGTCCTCGGCAATTACAGTTCTCCCATCGTCCTACCAAGAAAATCTGCTGCAACAAATTTTGTAGATCTACGCATGCAGCGGTAATGACGCGTCATAATATTTGAGTGCCATCGTCAATTAACCAAGGTTGTAACAAAAACCTTCCAAATACATCCGAAGTATCCGCAGTGAAAAATACGCGTATACTTCGATGTATTAGCTCTGTCGCTGTTTCTTGTAGGCTTGAAGAAGTTTTGAGAAATAGTGTATATATACTTTTACCTACATATTTAATTTTTTCTAGTGAAAATCTAGCAACAACTATGGTAATTTTACAGTGCGTTTGATCGCACGTATCAAAGCAATGTGATTCAAGCAAGCGACATGCGAGCTCTTCAATGTCGGCAGTTTTACAGCAGCAAGACATCGTGCCCGCGCTAATTCGATGAGAAGAATTAAATCTATAATTGTGTACTGTAGAATGGAACTTAGGTAGAATTCCAACAATCACTCAGTATTCCCACGGGTGGCTCTTACCACCAGTCGGCCGTTAACTATAATATTTATATGCAGATGGTCGTACGATTTCCATCATTCTTATACGTGTATCTATGGGTTAGCAAAAGGGCAAACTTAGGGTCGAAAAGCCGTGCGAGTTGTTGATTCTCATGAGAATGATCGCTGCGAAGACTCCCAGCGAGATAAACTTAAGCCTAAATTGCATTCGTTGGTCAGGAGTTTGCGGCAAAAGTAGGCGGGCGGATCTGTCCGTAGGTCGATTGGGATGCGGGCAAAAAGACAACAAGGAAGACGACACAAGGAAAAATTCACGGTGATTTGGGGTTCAGGTGTAAGGTGGGTTAGGTAAGTGGAAAGTGACAATAAGCGGATGAGCCACCGGAAACGTCGTTAGTGTTAGTATAGAAGGCGAAGCAGCTAGATGAAGATATCGGGCGTGGAAGGGAAAGTGGGAAACGTGAAGGGGATTAGATGAAGAAAGGTCGGGATGGAAAATTCTCTAATTGCAGATGTCCATTACGGAGCGGTAGAAGGAATGGGAAGTAATCTCGCTTAGCGGAGAGTGCCATAGTGCAAGCATACAGTTGTCGGTTGTATGATCCTAATATGGATAGCGAAAACTATGCAACGATTGTTGCACATAGAGGCGCCGTCTCCGTCGAGGGCCCCAGACTCATTGACCATATGGAGCATATCTAGGAAGCTCTTGAGGCCTAGATCATGGCAATTGTGTCCCTTTATGGATGGACAGTAGATTAATCTAAAAAACTATCACTTGTGTATGGTTAAATTATGTACGAATTTATTGTACTGGCCTAAGAAAGAAATATTTATACTTGCTTATTAGCCTGCTTGAGGCAGATCTGTTAGTTTCCATTCCGGCTGAAACAAACGTAGCTTAAAAGACTAGAGAACTTGCCATGGGATTACGCAACTATTTGAACATGTCCGCAAAGAAACGCAACGTCTTTTTGGCAACCTTGCGTGATGTATTCCAGGTGCTTTTCTTTTTCAAGTTCGTCAAGGCTGGGCGCCCTCTGAGAAACCTTGTTTTACATATTATGCGAAAATATGCATGCATTTTCCAGAAAAGTCGATTCGGATAGTGTAAGAAGGCCAAAAATTATATGAGAAACACGTTTTGTCAGGCTCCTGTGCACATCTGTGTCTGGCATACTTTTTTCTTTCATTGCTAGAGTATGTGTCAGCGTCGCGGCAACGGCCTAAATGCATGCGTCACTAATCGCGAGGCCTATAATATAGCCTCCACTATACGGGAAACGTGTTGGAGTCACTGTTTGAGACATAATATTGATGGGAGGAGAGTCCCATGCGAGAAAAACGCACGAAACGTGCGACAGTCACTCAAGTAAACTTACTTGTAAGAAAGTACAAATGTCACTAAGCTATTTATTTCGAACATAATATCTGTCGTCGAGAGGATGTTGTTGCACCTATTTCTTCTTTTTTTTCTTGTAGAAATCACTGTTGGTGGGCCATTGTCCCGAACGCGGATCTTCTCTCCACAGGCTCAGGTCCGGTTCAGGCAGTTCTTCGCAGCGAACCCGCGGATTACTGTGAATAAGGAGCTTTATTGCTTGCTGGATCGAATCGTTAGTAACACATCAAACCCCAAGATATTATAATCTTCGTAATTTTATGACAGTTACTGCTCTAGCGGGAGCCTAGGGCTAATTTCAGTTTATCGATATCAAATATAAGAATTTATATAAGTTTCAATTATTGGACGCTAACTTCAAAGGCCCTCATATCGGAAATCGCAAACGACTACTCCACAGATTATGAAAATTATACTGCTAGCTTAGCTCAGGCCAGCCTAAGTCCATTTCGACTTTACAAAATACTTCGCTTGATAATTTAACACTGTTACTTGAATCCTAAACAAAACAGACGAATTGTGTTGTTGGACTCTGATTATCTGATAAGCGTGGTGATTTCTTTGTCAACACCATTAACAAACGTGATTTCCCATTATCAATCTGATTAGAGATTAAATCAACTTCGATACTGGAATACATCCTGTTCAAGGCACAGATGTACAGAATAACCAGCTCAAATAATAATGGCGTTGTGAGAACGAAAAAATCAACGATACTATAGCTGTATGATTGACAGGATTTTCTATCGAATAAGTAACTTACTAAACTGGGTGTGCGAGCCGAAGAACGAATCTCTGGATTGTCGGAATATCGTCTCCGTTCGAACAGATGATCCTCGCCTGTGACGCTGTTCGAATTTCGCGGAGTTGTTCTAGTAAACGAGGTCCATTGCAACCAAAATAAAGAAACACAAAGTAACAAACAATGAAGTACCGACGCTGATGCCTCAATTTATATTTTAAAAAATGCTAGCACCTTGTTACGCAATTGCAATACACGGGTAGAGGTAGCAGTCAAAAAGCGAATAGTAATTAAGCAGGCGAGTATCGTTAGCGAGTTCCATATCCGTTGCGTACACTGTTGAGGGTCAAATTTGTGATTCTCTTCTGCTAGTGGTCTTGCTGTTGGCGCCGATCAGCCAGCTGAGGGCGCTTGATGACAACGTCCCACTTTTGGCGCGCGAAGCGATTTTGGCGCCGACCCAGCGATACGAATCACCCATCGGCTGTATAGTGTGTTCAGCTGATCGAAGTTTTTTGTGCAGATTCGTTAAAAGTTGATTCGACATAATGTTCTTTCGATGATGTAGAATATTAAGTGCAGATAGGAAAAAGAACAGCGTTCGAAGGTGGATATTGTTGACTGATTGAAGCTGGATTAAGGAGAGCAATTCAACACATTTACGATTAGGGGGTCTAGAGTAAAATGTAAATTTCTGGGTATCGCATTCACCGCTTTTCCAATACATACGGGGCTCTATAAGCAAACAGTCGTTGAAAACACATAAACAATCTGTAGAAATTGCTACCACTGCGCTGAATATCCTACACACTTCCGATAGACAGTGCAATCCGATCTCACCTGGGGTGAATGATGAAGGCAGATTAGGGTTCTCGAACCAAAAACGATCACCTCGTCGGAGATTTTGAAACTGCCGACCCACAACGCAGGCAAATGTTGGCCCAATCATCCCGCCTTCAATAATTCGCTCTGAGATACCGCCAGACCATAAGTCGATGTCGTCTGGATGCCTGTAAGACAAATAGACCTATTGATTAGCTTTAGAATTTAAGTTTTTCCTTTACATAAAAATAACACGTATTTCGCAAATCTATTTCAGTGTCTACATATGGATTTTCGGCGTAGCAAATTTCAACAACGTTTGATCGGAGTAAAACGCATGTTCAACAGGAATATTAATCTGTAAAAGCAGATAAAATCTATGAATATAGCTAAACAGGATAAATAAAAATAAAATTTGCAGAGTGCGACGCGCCGAAGGTTCATTCTCGCCAGGAACTGACTCACTGAGAGAGCCTAGGTAAATGCCATTTTTATTCGAACATAATGAACTAGGTTTGTAGAAGCTTACTCGTAAATCTTCGAATATCGCATAGCTGTGCCATTACTGAGAAACGGCTCTAGTTCTTCAAAGGTTTCGACTTTGCCCAGGCCACACCATTCACGAAACGCGTTGTAACCTGGCACTCCATGCTCTCGAGCCCTCTGGAGATTTATAGATATAAGATCTCGACCAAAACCTTCGTCTGGGTCTTGAAACAAATGCTCCGTTACCTACCAAGAAACATATAGTTTTCAGTAATGGTCATTGTGTAGTACCGCATAAATGATACTGTCAGTAGCTACTTCTTTATGAACTGCCACTGGCATAGGAAAATAAGGTTTAGTTCATTTGCCAAACAACTAAGAGACAAATGAACAAGGTTCCAGTTTGGTCTGTCTACGTGTGGAAAAAATTTTCAGATGAATGGGAACAACTCTGAGTAGTAGAAAACTCGTTTGGATCCGAGTTAACTAAGAAGTGGATTAGAGAGCAAGTCATTTATATGATAGTTTTAAATTGCAAATGGTGGAAGTTCAAGCATCATTGTCCATCCACGCGCCATGCGATATTTAGTATCGGTAGACCGCCGCTGCAGACGCAGGTCACTCGCAATCCATTAACGTGGCCATGCGTAACGTTAATATTCGTTCTTCTTACGTAAGCGGCCTAACAATGCTTCTTCATAGCTTCAATGCAGCCTGCAAATAGTGGCAAACAAATCGAGGTGACTGGGATCACTTCGTTTTGGCAGTATGTTATTTACTTAAACTCTGTTCAAATATGGCCAGCGATCGAATGCGAGTAACTCTTGTATAACGCTTTTCTAGTTTCGGCATCTCGGAGCAAGTTAAACTTGTGTAGGTGTACCTTTTAAAGTTAACGAATCAACAAATTCGTGGGCATCATTGGATTTTACTGGGACACACTCTACCGTCACAAAATGATAAAATCTCGATAAGTGAAATTGTGGGACCCTTAATTTAGCGAACAGGGAACAACTATAGCTAGGAAAAGAGCCTTTTGTTTTCTGTTCTATAACAACCTTTATAATACTCGCATTATTCTAGGGTAAACGATAAATTAAAGCAAGAACTCAAGGTAAGTTGTCTGTCCCGAAACGAGAATCTTGTGAGCCCCGACCGTCTCCTGCGGAAAAAATTCCATTTAATAAAAGGTCGAACTAACCTACTTAATTATAGCAATGTAGAGACAACACAGTTGTATCTGAGAATGTCTGATCGGTTATTCGGGCGAAATCATAACGCTGAACGAAGGACATTCCGGCTAATCAAGGATATCTTCGTGGCAGTTCTCGGTATTCTGAGCTTGATACCAGTGTCATACAACATAACAGGCAAAGACCTGAGTGGCGGTCGTGTACTTAGGCTACGAACTCTAGCTGAGATCTTACTCAGGCCCAATCATCGCTATGTATATAAGGGACTTTTAATATTCCTATTATTGCTCGCTTGTATTGCTACGACTGCTGGTACCTCTATTATTATTAGTTGTGTTACACATAGTTCGGTTAACTCGCTAGGAAACTCAATCTCAACCCGGGCTTTGCTGTCATACACGAAGATTGGCCCTTGGCAGCAGCTGCCTAAAAGCGAGTCTCCATCATCGGGTCATCAAAATATTGGGTCGGGCTAAGTGGCCACATAAGTCGCCGGGACCCCGCTAGACAACCTGTTGCTTCAAGTTCGGAGGAAGACTAATGGAGGAGATAAATAAAAGAAATCCAATAAGGCGATCAATATCGCTAGATGCTCAAAATAACGCGGAACCAATACCCAGTAGCTACGCCAAAGAAAAGTAATAATAAAAAAATAGGGACGAAATGATTAGGGCAATTTTTAGTAGATGCAGCCATAGACTGTGTCCTTCTTTCAGATTTTTCTGCTGTTTGGTAAAACGCCACGTAACGCCATTTTAGCGGATAGTTCTTAAAAAAAAAGTATAGCAACAGTACACGAAACACATTTATGTAGGATTCATCATTTCTGGGGGTGCTTAATGCATAGTAAAATTTGTCCCGATACCCGAAACCGTTATTTTCTTAAGCAAAAATGGCCGCGTACATGTCGAGTTGTCGTGAGCCTTTTAAAATAAAAACCCGCATCTGTGTTTATATCCAGAGATACCACGAAACCACCGAGCGTTTTTGTAATTTTTTTAAAACATCGTATTGAAGCGTAGGATCAACAGATACATCTAGACTGTAAGGCTATTTCGAAGATTCGGAAGCTGACGATTCTGTAGGACCTCGTTAAATTTTTGCGTCATTCCAACTATACTCGACCTGCATTTGAGCGATTGCTTTGTTATAACGCTGTTTGCTAGCTGATTCGGCCAGTTTGATAAAACGCAAAATCTCGCGGTGACGCTTCCTGTTCTCCGTAGAGGTTAATGTTGAAACACTACGAACGTATTTAGATTTACATTGCTAAAAATGGTATGAAACATTTAAGTATATTGAAAATGTAACTTTTACTATGCTAGACTGCTTGAAAGAGGAGAGCGCCGCTTCTGTTGGATGACTTTAGACAACATTAAACTTGGGTATAATGTTATGCGTCTAGCGACTGGTAAGTACAACTACCGCGAAAAGCTCTAAGAAGCTTTGTCGTAACACCGAGTGAGATTTTGCCGTTCCCCTTATGTTTGTAACAGTGCTATCGAGTTAATAGTTTTAAGAGGATATCGAAGGTATCAACTATTTAGTCCTAATGCAGCTGTAATCCATTAAGGACGGAAAAAAGTTTGAAAGCCATGTTGCTTTTATCTGATTGGCGATTAGTAGAAGCCTCGGTATCTGTTGGACAAACGCTAAGAACATAAGAGCTGTTGTGGCCATCTTTTGTGCTTTCTTCTTTTTTTTTTGTCCATCTATTTTTGTTTCATTACTAAAAAAAAAAAGACCACGAGAAATAGCAATAAGCATAAAGAATTCGGCTTTAGAAAAGCAGCTTATTCATCTTTAGGGCAGGACTCCGATGAACTGGTTGAAACAAACGCGATTTCATAGTTATCTATTGTATATAGTAGAGAGGTAATTCAGGTGACACCAACAGTGCTAGTTCACGACTGCACCCAACATTTACATGTTGACTCCCCCAGCTATAATGCTAAGCGTAAAGAAGTTCATTAACTTGACGGGCAAAAAATAAGCTAGAGAAATCTAACCTTAAAGATTCTGAACTATACGTTATATAGCGTAATAGTGATAATAATCGTTTTATCAAATTAGCTGCTTATGTTTGATGATCACTGACTGTTCGCTCGCAGACCTTAACAAAACTAGGTCGCAGAGCCCTAGCTTCTGTTACTATTATATTGGTCAGCTTTACGTATATTTAATAAAAGTTATTTTCATAACATTTCTATTCTAAGTGTTGCAGATTCCGCAGGAGAGCCATAGGGAATAGTTTATTTGGGAAAATTAATGCGTAGCATTTATAGAGATATCACGCTTACGGACACTCGGAGTCTTCTTATGCCTGTTTGTACCTTGTGCCACAAGATCACACATTCTAAAAGTATAGGTCATACAATATGGAATTTGATAAGATATCATCGGCTTCAACATGTCAGCGAGCATGCTTCTTCAAATACTATTTTTCTTCTTGTAGAAAAAATAAATCAACTCACATCTATAGCATAGAGATGCAGCGTAGATCATTCGAAATGCACCAATACGTTATGCGTTCCCTCTGTGTGTGTGTGTGTGTTTTTTTCTCGAATTTGCGTTTATTCTTGATTCACCTTGTATCTTAGTCTGCAAACTAGGATCTTGCTCAGATACCAGCATCTTGGATATATGGCTCATTGAGAATTAGTTACAATCCACTTATTTCTATTATCAAAATTATGTAATGCCACGCCGTCTCACTCCGTGCTCCTGCACTCTGTCATCTGAGAAGGATGAAATGTAAACACTTTTTTTTTTTATTCAGTCGAATACCAAGGGTCAGACCCTGTGCCCAAAACAAGGCATGATTAAAAGTCTAACAGAAAGTGCTACGTGCACCGCAGACACAGACAAATCATTAGTAGTTTTGTTTTCATAGGGGGTTGATAATTGAGATAATATTAATGAAGAGAAGTGTAGTGTCTTCGACATACGTTTGTAGAGCTTTTAGAGAGCAAGAAACATGAAAGTTTCCATTGGATGTTGAATTATTCCAAATTCAGCTCTTCTGAAGAGTGAAAAAGGCCTTTCTGTTTTGTCGATATCCTAAAAAAAGACGATTTTTTACCTCCTGAGTGATGAAAGGGTCATATGTCTGTGCAGGCGTATTGATAAGGCCCAATGCTAATTCGTCTAGTTTGCCGGGCTCGTACAGAACAAAGGGTTGTTGTAAATGTTCCCGCAAAGGCGTCTGGCCTGCAAAATAGCATCTCGTTATTACCATTTGTGAAATTGAGTAGTGTTAATTTAATAACGACTGTAATAACACTCAAATCAAAAACTATATAAACGATCATTTATATGGCTAGGCAAGCAAGGTTAGAAAGTAACCTAGCTGAAAACTTTCTATACGATAAATGTATTTATTCATATGAGCACTGGACAAAAACATAATATCCACATCGAGAGCATTCAGGGTGATTTTATCTATGGAACATCAGTGTTTAAAAATGTATATACCAGCGAGGAGTAGCTGGTAATGTGCCATCTGGGTTATCCATCACAAATTATATCATGAACAGAGTATATCAAAGGGGATGCCGTTCGCAGCGCATCCATTCTCGCTCAAATAATAATATGATCTAATAATGATTGATTCATACCGAGAAATTCGTGGTACTTATTATATCTTCGAATCATCCCCTGGATGAACGTATGGCCAAAGCGGAACGCTGCAGCTTGGAAGCTGTTGGTCAATGCGAAGTTCACGTCCGGATCATACCCATCCCAATAGCCCTGAAGGCAAACTGTCGTTGTCAATTTTATTTGGCATCAAATTTTGTTATTATTTAGTACCACTGCGCCCGGTGAGAACGATAGCTGTTACCCGGCGTGCCCAATCAGAACTAGTCACGAAATCATCATTTTTTAGATTAACCAAACAATTCTTATTTAGTTTAGGAGCTCGTTCATCTGACATTGAAACGTCTTTTTATACTTCTATATATAAATTACAAATACAGACAACGTTAGCACAAGTCCACTATAACTTATGACTATATTCCTGTTGCGTTACGATTGGATAAGTTTGGAGACTCGCCCCCCTAAGTTACTTTCAACACGGTTGTGGTGGAAATGTTAAGAGTCGTTATAAATGTTTAATAATAGATGATCTTAGTAGGCTCACGTTTAGCCAGACCACAGATAGCAAGCAACCTGTTGTGTGGCCAAGTCTCATTTTTTTCAAGGTGGGCTATGTGTCATGGCTTAGAGCATTTTTTGGATAGCCAAAGAAAACAGTCGCAGATGCTGTGCTGACAGGGCTAATGATATTTCTTCATGGAAGGTTACCAGGGGGAGTCTAGGACTGATGTCGAGAGCTAGGATGGTGTGTATTATTTATTGAGGTCTTCAGGTCCCGTTGGTCAACTTTCTTTATGACGGACCGAGCGCTTTCTTTTGGTCTGTGAGATCCTAGGGGACGATTTCCGTGAAGACTAGACTCAAAAATGTCACCAAAATTCACGTAAAGGCTCGTTAACTTGCAAGACCTCAGAACTTATACATGTCCAACTATAAAGTGCCACATTTTAGACTACAGTAAAATGCAGCGTGCTGAATTATGGCAATTAGAGCTGGACCCTTTTTTCTTTTTATGACATTTCCATCGATGATCTGATAAACCAAATCATCGATAGAAATATCAGTCGATTGACCCCTTTCTCGAGGATGATTTGTCAGTTTGCTCACACATGCAGCGCGCACCGGTTGGTATCTCACATGGTGATGTGGGATTTAACTTTGATCAACTATACAGGATAACAGCCTTTTTAGTGCTTAAGTCTTCACATTAAATCCGTTATGTGGTAAGATATGGTGTTAAAGAAAAGTTGAATGCGCTTAAACGATCAATCAATTTGACAGGAAACTATTGCTTTACTTTGAGTACAGTCGACGTCAGCCAAAGGCCGACTGGACTAGCGAATTTTTTTTAGATACAAGGCGGAAAATTATATGTCAAAAGACATAAGCGAAAATGAGACATAAGTGAAAAAAGACAAACAGAAGCGATGAATAAATTCTTCGGTAGCTCATTTTAAAAGGTATACAGTCGATTGTTGGTAACTGTTCCCAGGTAATTCGTAAGGGGCTTTGGGTTTTCTAAGATACAGGAGGAGGATGTTGTGAATATCACGTTGACAGCACACTAATTCGGTTAAACGGTACAATAACAATCGTTTACTCTGGAACACGTGCATTTTAAGCGCAAGTTTCATTTATTGATGTCCTTTCGCTTGAAACTATGCGTGCACCAAAATGTAAACTCGAAACATTATCTAGAAAGAGGCCCATGAAATAGGCCCAGCTGTTGCCTTCGGACCATAGCATGAACATTTCTGCACGGTCATCGGTATACTTGAAAAAACACGTATCAACATCCAGATAGAACGGAGCTATTTTATAATATATGAAACCGTTATTTCGTTTACTATCAAATCTCATTGCTTATATATAGAAATACAGCGACACGTACATCTTCCACAAGTGTAAGGTTGTATGTCTGCATGGGTTCGGGGCCGAGAGCCATCGGGAGATATTCATGGTAAACGATGTACTGGACCATGGCCGCTTGAATATGGCGTGTCTCTTGATATGTTCTCTCGTCGTCCCAATGCGGATTGAGTCGACCCAACTCCAAAGCAAATCTACGAGCAGCAAAATCGTAGATCTGTTAAATAAAGTTTCTTTAGTCCGTGTTTTGGGAAATCACTAGAGCTGCCAAAAATCCGATTATATTCCGTGGTCAGAGGCCCACTTATACCTACTTAATTAGGTTTCACTATTCGGTTGCACATCTTCCCATCGTACGAACATTCAAATTAAAATTTACTCAGAGCTATTTTACCAATGATATGTGCCCAGCAAAATCCTTAATAAAACGAGTGAATTTCAGCTACTATTGATTTAGGACAGTCGTTTTACACAGGAAATCATCAGTCAAATTGAGCCGTCTCCACAATTATTTCGTAAGAAAATATAAGTTGAAATAAATTTACACGTTACATAGTTCTCAAGAAGAACGATAAAATATTTCGTTCGTCAGAAACGGTTGTCACGGATAATTGTCCATTTTGCATTAGAGCTAATCCAGGGTAGAAAGGTTCGACCGTGTCTACAAGCTACTTAAACACGCGTTGCTTTTATCATCAAATTCTCACGTTTCGACTCTTCTTTTAAGTTCCCAATCAGCCTATGCGTTCAATAGATCCATCTGTTCAACATCAAAAACACACGAGTATTTATTTCCCAACGTGTTTCCGACGCTGCATGGTAATAGGTGGGATAAATTGTAGAACGATACTATACCCTGTACGTCGTCAAAGTTAGGGATTAAACAGAACAGAGAATAGCTAAAACTTTTTACTATTTACGACTAGCTTGTGTGTGTGTGTTTTTTCTTTCATCAGTACCGATGAGTTGTAGTGCCTGAAAATAACAATTAACTTAACTTTTAGCCATTTTTTTAACCAGCGCAATTATAAGCTTTTCATTTGAGCGCGTGAGCTATGTAGATGATAGCGTAAGATGTTAACAAACATAAATCTTTATCAAGTGCCTTCCATGAAAATTTTCAAAGCTATCAACGAGAGTAAAGTGATCATCCGTCCACAGCATCATTATAGAGCACAGGTATCAGACCAGCGTCATTACTGACCTGCCAAATCGACGGTACCGTCGATTTGGCAGGTCAGCTACGTGCTGTAGCGATCCGCTTCATTGATACGTGCAACGTGCAAAACAATCCAAAATTAATGTATAGGTGCGACGTGCATACACATTTGGTAGTGATGTGATCGAAATGGATCCATCCTTATGGACATTAATTGTATTGCCGTATAATAGTTATCCAGCTAGAGATACATGCATGTATGAATAGGTTCCCTCATATATGACAAATAGTTGTTTTTTTAGATAACACAAGACGTCATGTTGGCCAGCCACTATCAAGAGAGAAAATGATTTAATCCTGTTAGGTACTACTTTGAGTTGATCGGACCATTCGATCCCTTCTGCTATAATATTAAATCATAATAGGATATTCTCGCTACAACAAACGTTTCCGTTATTACGAACGATTCGATGTTTTTAGGAGTTTTGTTGTTTACTGTTTGTAAAATATTGTGGAAAAGTGTTTTCAAGGATCCCGAGGGCGTTCACTCACATATTTCCTTGTTCTAGGTTACATCACAAGTAAGGTGCAGCCCTGCTAGAAATCTATGAAAAAATTTCGCTTTATCACTTCATTTTCATCAAATCACACTATGTCAATAATAATAATAATGATATTATAGGCATAGAAATCTGCGCGTGAACAATATCATTGAGCACGTGAGCAAATGGTCATTTCAGTTCCAATGGACAAATGGGGTTTTTAATGGAAGCACATTGAAAAAAAAAAGTGTCAATAAATTTATACGTGAGCACGGCGTGCCACTGCTGCTGATCACCATCAGTCAGAAGGAATAGAAGTAAGAGGTTCAACTGGGAAAGGTCAGGTTGACGGGAAGCGTCCGTTTATACAGTAGTGCCTGGCAGGTGCTCCGTTAGCGTCAATATCTGGTGCCTTTAGGAATTTAATTAGGCGTGCGTCGGCGCGAATCAATGCGGAAACCAGGAAGGGGATAAGAAGGCCACAGGCCTGTATTTAGGGTACGTACAGCCAAAGAACCATTCTTTATAAGCTGTTCATATGATCGTTTTAATTATTGTTACCCCCTAAGATTGGACTAGGGATTGTTATTCTAATATATTTATACTGAACACCATAGACTCCTACCATACGTACTGCATTCGCATGTTGTCTTCTTACAGAGATCCAGAGAAATTAAATAACCCTAAAACGCATAAACACTTGGTTATCGTTTTATGGTTACCGAATAATTGCCAATCTACCTGTGTAAGAGTTTTTTTCCTCACAATAGCCATTAAATTAGCGAAACATGCCAATAGGAAGTTGAGCAAATATTAGAAAGAAACAAACCCCTAAATTACAGCTTAGGGACTGTGACAACGATCGATCCATATGCTCTTGACCAACACTCGTTCACACAAAACTGTGAAAGCAAAAGATCACCCTTTAGATATCCTATAGTTGACCACCTAAATTTGTATTACTATTAAATACTATTATATATTATCACTTATAGGGCTTTGGAGTGATACACTGGTTTTTTAGACGTATAACGTCATGAGTCCGAAGCCGGTACATTTTTCTTGCTACAGTCAACACTTTTTCAATAATACCTATATATTTTGAACAAATAAAGCCCTGTATATAACAGTGAGCAACACATTTCGATGCCAAAGCAATTGCCAACCCTATACTTCGATATATATTGGAGGGCATATAGACGGTTAAATACAAAACAAATTAGCCAATTCCAGTTTCCACAAAAACCTAAATAGAGCCAGTATCAAGCATTAACTCTTCCTCTCTATTCGATCATGAAGTCATTGTTGCAACAATCCTAGTAAATAACTGAAGTATTCTTTAGCAGAGGCGATGTCTGTATTGTTTTTTAAATGATCGTCAATTAGCACAGGCCGAGAAGCGATATGGCTAAAATAGGATTAATTGTCGGAATCTTGCTGATGGCTTCAGATAAAATTAAAGGTAGGTAAAATGAATTTTTCTTGCGACAGTTACATGTTCGTTCGTTCGCAATTTCGGTGGTTAGTCTCTTGTTTAGATTGATCTTCTAAACAATCTTCAACACCGATTTAGCTATAGGATGCCCGTCTAAACTAGCGACTAAATATAATACCACCGCAAGAGGTTCTATCTACCTAAACAGAGCATCTAAAGTCGCGTATATGTTTGCTGACCAAAGTGCTCCTATAATCTAGCTTTTCGTCTGTTTTAATTCGTGCAAAATCAAATAATCATAATAATTCGTACTTTTCTGCTTGTGCAGTCTAAATTTAAAGTTGACATTAACTCAGCCTAAATCTTTTAATTCTGAGGCCCAAAACGTTCTCCGTTAACCTATAGTCTTATATTTTATTTAGGCCCATGAGCAGAGTGGTCGTTTACTTTTTAATGGCCAGGAAGATGGAAGACCTATGAGTTGACATCGATAGAATAAAACGCTGTCAGATGCAATTCTAACCGGGTTTGTTCAGACCTGCAGTTGCAGATTCATACGGCTATCACCTTTTCAGGTCCTCTTCCTGCTGTGACCTGTCGCACTCATCTCACTTGGCTTTCGCATGAAATGTCGCACTTCTTTACAAGATATTATCTTCATAGTCGAGCGAACAATTCTTCACATCAATCAAAACATGTTGGATTTTCGTTCTGTTTTTAAAGGCTTTTTCATGCTTGACTGAAATTTAACAAGGCTGTGTCACGACATACCCCGTCGTACAGTCGGAATCGTGGCCTGAAACCATTAAATTTATTCGAGTTGGACACAACCGACATGATGATTTCGAAGGACACATTTTAGGATATAAACGTTTGTGACGATCAAGCGAAAGCTCAGAACGTTAGAACTCAGTCAATATAAGCTATGTAGAATGGACCTATTGAAATAAGTCCAGGTACGAGTACAAGAATAGCAAAAACATAGTATATACATGGCTCTTAGACCTAAAGCACTCACTTCAAACAAAAATACTCGAACCTGCATGTAGACCGGCAAAAATGTCACTTCCAAATATAGGAAAGTTCCAAATATAGGAAGGCAATATTACTATAGTTAAATAATCTAAACTATATTGTTTCCTCGAAGATCCATACATTGTTATATCAAATACTTCTACTACTCTTCTATGTGCTTTCAGAGTTCCATAGGTTTTTTGACCTCGCGAAAACCTTACCGCCAGCACCTCGCCGGCTTGCGAAGAAGTGTTCGGTGTACTTACAGGTCATTTGCGTGTCAACATACACAAAAAAAAAAGAAACAAATAATAACTTTTTTAAACACAGGGTAGTTTGCAACGATATTCTCGTCGTTGTTCTTTCTCTTTACGATTTTAATGTTCCTTCTACTACCTTTATGATCTTTGAATACACGATTTTATCGAAGGAGTAGCCAAGATGTAAGCAAGATCGTAAGGAATCAAGAAAGAATACCCCGGCTGTACATGTGCTATTTAAATAGTGGATGCTTATTTGCCCCAATTTCGTCCACATCCCTAGTCTCCCTTTTCCAAGCGCTCCTAAAATGTTCGCTCTTGGCCATAATTCTAAAACAAATAGGAACTGAGGGAGACGGAAAGGAGGGCTGCTAAAGCGGTTTTTACGCAAAAACCGCTGAAACGAAGGCGATAAAACCCTGATTATGGCCGTGATGATGGTGTTGATCCCATATGTGTAGTTTTTCGCGAAGCAAAGTGATGGAGATGTTTGCAATTTATAGCGGCTGCAGTGATGGCACAGCAGACGAGGTGAAATGTAGGGTATGGAGCGTTTCTGGTTTATCTGAGCGTCTACCGTACGATGAAACTTCGAAACCGACAATGCCGTCAAAAACGAACCACTTTGGCCAAATCACCCACGAATGTCGTTTTATTTGCTTTTCAGGGATAACAAAAACCTTCACATGAAACGAGGCATACGGTACTTGTTGTAAGTCATGACAGCAGTGGCAAAACGTAGAAATTTTCCAATGGCGCCGCTAAATATCTAGGCGACTCGTCGTTGCAATGTCCTTCTTCTACGATACACGCACATGAAATGATCGGATATATATGATAATTGAGATGGAACCCGACCCATACACAAATCGAAAGGATGTGATAGTGTTTTGTATTCCGTTTAAAGAAATATTAAGAAAAACTTTGCCTCTATTTTATTGGTATTACTATTACTACTATTGTTGTTTTTCGTATCACTCCAGGCATTAATTAAAAGATTCAATTTACGTTACGATTTAATTTAAGAAATTTTATAATATTATTTGATACATAAATGACAAACCTGTTATGGTCCCTGACGTAGAATGTGTGTAGAACAGTTAAATGGATCTGTTCGTTAACGCGCTCGTCACCGGCGATAAAGCAAAAAAGGTTTCTGGGCCTTCCGATGCAATCACGCTCAGGGTTTTCACTTTCCGGTGGAAGGATAGGCTTAAGACCCAGGTCCCTAAAGCGATCCCACGTCCGCATCAGTCCTGCTTCAAGAATCGAGCCATATTGATATAATGTATAGTAATAGGGATACATATAAGCTTCCACAAGTACCTAAAAAAAACGTACTGAGTGAACTAACGAATAACGTAAAGCCATTTCCAGCTCATCTTTGGAAATATCACAAAATAGAGAAAATGGTTCAACCTACCTATGTTTGCAGGCTTTGAAGGCGCATCTCTAAACGTCGGCTAAACTCCCCTTGTAGGTAAGATTGGAGTATTTAGAAATGTTTACGATACGCTTTTAGTCGGCGTTAATATTACACAATTCTACGTGAGTATTTATTTATCTATCAAAATACGCAATGCACCCATAATTCCTAGTTCAAAGTTTCTAATACATAACACTGGCTTTACAAATTCTAAAATAAGCTCGTTTCGCGAAATCCCCTCGCTAGTTGATGTCTATAGTGATATTGGTTATTGCTAATGAACAAACGGACGCTATGACGAAGTTCATTCGAACACCCATTACATCGTGCTTCTAATGTATAGTAAGTGCATCACGAGGCGAAGTCAGACGCTGCGCTGTTAAGACCGAGTATTTGACGTCCGAGCCCGCCATAGAGTAAATGAAAGGACAATCAGATTTAACGTACCTAAGTAGAACTCTTGGATAGGACAGCCGATAAAAATTAACATGGAACAATATGCAAATACATGTTGATTTTTTTGTTAACTGATCAAAGCAGACCACTGCATACACAGATACCAGAGGAAAATACTACATCGATTAAAAAAGAACCTTCAACACAAAACACCCGATGCCTAATTGCAGTCCATCTGTTTCGTGTACGCGTTTGAACAAAAATGACGCAAGCAGTAGATTGTCGAAAAAAAAAACGATCGTTTCTATATGATTTTCGTTCATTAGAAATGAGAAGGAACTTTACGGGCAGATTGACGATTGTACTGTTTTCGAAATTGTCGCAGGTAAATAACTGTGGCGCATGTCACACGTCGCTACTTACTCCGAAAATATATTCGAGAATGTTTGAAGCGCTTCGAAATGCTACCGGTACAGTAACAATCATCGTGACTCATGAATACGATCCTCTAACTGTTAACCTAGTTAACACTAAATTAGTTACCTATAAGTTCTTTGTTTGCTTATCGACACCCAGATACGCATATTGGTAGTTACCGAGAAGCTGCAAATACGCTCATCCAAACATACGGTTCTTAGCAATCAAGCAACTTGAAATTTCTCTATAATTTATGTATACATATATGTTGAAATCATGTTATCTGTCGTTGCGTTCACTGTTGAAATCTCTATAAAAAAAAGCTAAGACAATTCATAGAACCTAGTGACCGGAAACGGAACCAGTACTGGGAAGTGATTGGTAAGCTTTAAGTAAAATTTACCATCTATGGCGTATTAATTGGTGGGACCCACAGCGTTTTTATACACCTAACATCGTATTGGTTGATATGGCCGCCGTAAGAAAAAGCCAATTGTTGCGCTATTGATGGCGGCAGCTGGAAATGACCAGACCACTGACCTCTATCGAAAGCACGCAGGCGGGCAGAAAGGGCATCGGATGATCCGTAGATGAAGTTTGCGTCCACCGCGTGCGATAAGGTATTAATGTGTGTTCGGGGACCTGAATAGAGATTAACAATAACTACTTAACAAGTGACAAAGCCAAGAGGACGTGTTGACGACAAAAATGAACAAGTCAATAATTTCGTGAGGATCTAGTGAGGAAAATCATTGCACTAGCATTCAGGTTGGTAGAATGAAAAAAACAGTGCCATAACACAAAGGTGTTGGTCGAAAGCTAATGTGTTGTAGGTTAAGTTAATGGAAGGCTATAAAAGGGAAGTTATTGAACAGCGTCGGCTAGACATAAAGGTGGTGTGTAACAGGAAGCAGGTAAGGTTCTCAACAGCCGTACTGCGTGATAGTTACGCTTGCTATATAGTTAGGTAGTTACGTCCATGCGTACCAAGGGCACAATTGGGCCGTTGTCCTGCGAGGCTCCTTTTAAATTCAATGCACCGTCGATTGAATCTTGAATAAAAAGGGTCTTTGGGCGGTACGTCTATCGTGAGACATAAAGGATGCTGCATTTCTGGGGGTACTCCACAACAGTCGAAGTCGAGGTCTTGTTCATCTGTTTATTTAATAACAGTTCGAGCTTTTGGTGTTTCGTAACAGAAACGAGAGTTGCTTTTGCCGCTTACATCCTTTTTCGCTTATGTCAGCAAATATGGTAATTAATATGAAATCAAGTTCTATAATCTTATAGCTGAAGAATAACCGCAGTGTGATACAACACTTAGATAAACAACTAAATAAAGCTATATTAGCAAACGTCGAGATGTGGAGTAGGCTACACCGGTTTAAAGTTGGTAGCATACCTCTGAGCCTGAGTGACTAGCTAAGCTGTGATCAGGCCGAGCTAGGCGGGTTTGTACAAAAACCGGCTTAAGCTGACAAATAAAAAAATGAGGCAATCAGAAATGTATTTGAACTATATACTGCCCCACGGTATATCTATTCGACTTTAAATATGAATATTAGCTGACCAAATCGTTTGGATGCAAAGTTTTCCATTCCGTGATTTTAGTTGTACGCATAATGGAACTTTTACTAACATTAGAGATCTTACGAATATGCTAGAAATCGCTCAGTAAGCCAAAATTTGCATAGATTTCACCGTACTAGAGCTTGTTGGTCAAAGACTTAGAGCAAGATTCAAATAGAATTAATGTGCCCCTTTGTACACAGGGCTTCGTATGCGAACGGATAAAAAGGTTTGCGCGAACTCCTGTCTAGGTTTACCTTTGATCAGGGTAACGTCGGACGCGAGAGAGCGTCCAGCAAAGATGCTAGAAGCTAAGTACCATACGCAAGCAGTATCTTGCCAGCATGAAGACTTTCGTCCGCTCGCTATTGGGCAGATAGGATATGGGGCATAATAAGATTTTCCGAATGATATACACCGTCTCGCTTAGTCATTGTAAGCGGACAGAACGAATGGAGAGCTATTAAGTATGGGGAAACCGATGGTTTTTTCAACTAGCACACTGTTGACTGTGAACGCAATTTTCGCTTCAATGGATACGGTAGAAAGATGGCCTGAATACGAAGTCGATCGCTGTCGTCCGATATAGCAAACCTGGCTAAAACGAGCACCTATATGAATGTTCTTTTGTCTGATGGCTACAAACGCCCAGCTATTGCAATAGTTATGATATGGGGCAGTAGCTATCAGCGAAAACCCGTCACAATGGGCTGCCCACTTATCATTTGAGTAATTCCTTGTTTGATTACTTGAGCTGTTCTATTTTACTTTTTTTTTTCGGTTTCCACTAACTGCGTCACTTTAGTTACGTTATGTATTTATGGATCATACCACGCTTGCCAGTTCATATAAGTGATACTGTGCAAGCATACGACATTTCTTCATAAAGTGTCGACTATTCGTATTTGTAACGCATCGGCAGGTAAAATGCCGTGAATCAACAATGACGTTCTAAATAAACTTATTGTATCAAGTAGGTACCACGGGGAGGTGCAGCTAACGTGAGATCATGGTCAATAAACTGTCCCCAAGACATCACCAGGATGGTCAGCCTAGGCGAAGCCTCATCGAAGTCCCGATGAATGAAGTTTGAAATTGCTCTTGGATTCGGCAGATCACCTCCATCACGTGCTTTGCGCAGTCCATCGATACCTGCAGATTTGGTTATACCAATAAGAAACGGCCGCATATAATATAAGACAATCTTAGTATTTCGAGTTTTGCATCCGGCATCGCCGTCAGGCATTCCATGAAGTGTCTATCCCTGGATTCGAACCTCGACCACAACGTGTCCCTAAGATTAACAGAATCTAGTACTTTCGTTTATGTATAGATTGATTTTTTATCAGCGCCTTCCGGCTGTCTTTCTGTAAGAACGGTTGTCAAGTGTTCTCCAGGATAGCAGCGATGAGCTGTGTAGTTTGACTAGACCTTGCTGTAGATATCTGAGTTTTCTCCCACAGACCAATGAAGCGACATGGTAACAATATAAGCAACTATTAAGCCAATTTTATATTTCTTTTTAGTGATAATTGCTAATTTTCCTGGGATCCAATTCTTAATGATCGCATTTTCTCTTAAGAAGCATGGCTTCATTCTAAAAGATTCCCCGAAATGTTTCAGTAATAGCGTATCTCTCCATGAACCATAAAGGCATATTTGAGGTGCATGGTAGTGAACAAAATTGCTTACACAATGGCGACCAGCAGTTCAATGTAACTCTCAGCGGCGGTCCTAAACTAATAGTTTTTGGAAAGTGACCCATTTATGGAGTATGCAATCCTGCTGTTTTAAATGCGTTATTCTAATGTAGCTGAAAAGCTGCGCAGTGACTATAGAGCGAACCGTTTACTTTCTTCAAGCCTAGAAGCTATATGACCTCGGCAACGACAAGCTTAGCTTGCTCGATCGTATCTTTATAATGCCTACCATATAACCAATCGCCGCTGAGCGAAGGACGATGTATCTAACGTCAAGAATATCAATCACCCGCTGAGTCGTCCTGGTTAAGTGAACGCCTCATTAATTAGGCAAAAACGTCAGCTGTTGGTTGCCGTGCTGGTGCCATCTAGCCGAATCGTAGAGCTTTCCTTCCTTTTCTATGGGCACTTCAAACAAATATATTATTGGATATACATAAATTACATTAATACATTATTTTCTGATCTTAAAGTTTCCCTTTTCTATTCACTAAGTCGACGGGAGCTGTCGCTGTTACAAAAGCAGGATAGAGCAATCTGACCTGTCGCGCTATCCTCACTAACAAGAGCTGAAAGAATGTAAATTTGAAGAACTTTTTGAATTAACATGTTATTTCAATAAACGTCTCGAGACTGAAACAAACCCTTCTCAGCAGCGGGCGCTTTGGACGAGAAGGCATTGACCGGAATAAATCTATCTATTTAGTTGGTAAGAGCGAAAATCCCCATAGTACAGGAACACTCTACTTGAACGAACGGAATATTGATTCTTTTACTTCGGAGACAGAAACCTTTAATTCCATTTATCCATGGCTGTAGCACAGCACGAAAGCCACCTTGACGTTGCTAAGCCTAGCGCAAGCCTGTCCTAAGTTGTTTGCAACTCATAAAGATCAAACATTTCAAGGTAGCGGAAGCAATGTGTTCCGTAAAGTTTTGCTAGTTTGTTTTTGGATCGCCCGGTCAAGTTCAGTTTGAGCTTATGTATTATTAGCTATATTTTCTAACCCCATTTCAAAAGCGAATAATTAAAACGTAACCGAAATAGTAAAATACACAAGATCTGATTAGTAGAATCTATGGAGATTCGGGGCTACGGGTGACGTTTCTGCTTTGTTAATCACTTAGCCTAGTATTTGTTGAGTTACTAGAAAGTGTGAGAAAGTCAAATGTGTATTTGACTTACCGTTACTGTAGACCTGGGGCAGAAATCGGACAAAGGGCGTATTGGTGACTCCCCAGGAGGGGTGTTTAATATTGTTACATCTTGCGTCCTGTGTGCGAAATCGCTCAACGGTGCACGGAATTGGTTTGACATGGGCAGGACACGCATCCCAGAGTTCTGTACGTGATACATCCACAAGAGGTAAAGCGTTCGCGATCTCGTCGTAAGTGAGACGAAACATAGCTAAACGAAAACGACCGGATCGGAATCGCAGACATGTTAAATCTATAATCTAGAATGCTCGGTGATGAACGTGCCTTAAAGAAATCGTCTCCCAAAAGAAACAACAAATTATAAAACGGTTTCATCCGAATTTACATATGGATACGTACAGAATGGGGTAGGAGTGCCCCTCGTTTGAATACTCGACATATGAAACATGCGCATGAAACGTAACGTCTACCCACCGTACGCCAGAAAGAGTAGCCTAGATAGAATAAGTTAATCAAACACGCTACCTGAAAGAATTCTTGTAGTTTCAAGAATAAGTTCTCCAGTTAATGCAATGTCTCGTTCAGTTGGCAATGGATCATCGATTCCACGCGGACGGATGAAGTCTAAAATTGTACAATGGCTAAAGGTATAATTATAACATCGCCAGCCGATAAAATCACCAGATTAGCTGATTGTTAACTAGCCTCAGTGGTATAAAACTAGCCAAAAACTTAGAAAAATATTTTTTTTTCGTAAATCTTGTCGTTTTTTGCCGTCACCCTTCATTTCCTGCACTTGACTATTCGCCATTAAAATGGCAGTCATCGTTTATATGAACCAATGAACACGTGCCAAAGACAATGAGAATTAGCGCATTGTCCTTTCCATATGAGCAAGAAGGTACACTTAGGCTAGCGCTTATTTTGTCAAAGTATGCCCTTTTCTTCTTCTAAAGCTACTATTGTGCGGGTTTCGACGTCTTTAGGTCGCCTTATAATATTAGAAGGAACCAATGCCCAAAAGTATAGCATACATAATGTACTATTTAAAGTGTATAGACAATTGTACTTAAACGGGCGCTTAACTAGTATGACGTATCTTACCGTACCCTAGTTTTTACCCACTAAAATTAACTTCTATGTATTGTTTATTCGAGTAATAGTCCTTATTAGAACTTAATGTTTTTTCGAAGGTGGTTCCGCTTTACGTTTATTAGAATGAACGCTTAAAAAAGCCACTGCTGTGTCCGTGGCAATCGAGAGCGAGACGAAGAATATCGTGCCAGCATACGACAAAATACTGTTACAACGCGTTCAAGATAAATTGAGACATACATGAGTTGACTTTTTATCATGACTGGATTCCTTCATACTCACAACTTAATTACGGCGAAGACAAACTATAGGCGAAGACTAGTTATTGTCCAGCGATTTTAAACAAGATGAACCGCTACTCGTCACCGAGCTTATAAACTTCCTTAGTTGCTTGAAGTTGACAACTTGCCTTGTTAGTGGCCATCATGCGGCCTCCAAAAACTCTCTCACGGAAAGCCAATGATCCACAAGAGGGATTAGGAAGAGCTCGAAAATTCATCAAAATCGTGCACAATTTTAAAAAAAAATAGGGGTTGCTTTCGAGACTCAGGTGTCTATTACCAATTAGATGCGGCATGTAAGCTTCGCGGCCAAAATGGCCGAACGATACCAGTTTTCTTCCAACTTATCCGAACACCCTGTACATCAAGGAAAGATCGGTAAAGCTGTGCCGTGTAGAATCGGCGGCGTTAATGTCGGCTTGAATGAAGGGGCTGGGGAGAAGGGGGTCGCGTAATAGGCTGACTTTGTTATTGGTTTAGGGTGCGACGCGGGGAAACAAGCTAGACCACTTGAGCTGAACTTAAACGAAGGCCACATTGGTTTCGTATGGTGTGTACTTCGCTACGCTGGTAGGCTGGAGGCTTTGCCAGGGTGCGGGATATTCATTAAGACAACACACAGGTTAAAGCGTTTGGGAGGTTTAGATGAACCCCTGGCGGGTACAGCTGCTGTTAATGGCTGCTGATAATAATGATGATTGTGCTTGTAATGACGATGAACAGTATCAGGTTGCTTTCTCGCCGAAATTAGCCCGACGGCTGTAGACAGATGGCTTCTTCAGTCGTCCATGTTAGATACAAAACATAGTTACCTTGAGGGCGCCGCTAATAAACTAGGGACAGAGCGCAGTAGGTCATAGCCTATACCACTCTATGGATTAGCTGTAACTGAAGGTGAAAGTCAATCATATCTTCATTTTGAAGTAGGCATTTATTAAAGCAGAATAATAATAATAGCAAATCTATTTTAAAGAGTTACGGAATCATTTGAAAATGAATAGGCCTTTATGACGATGAGCGATTGTTTTTAAGAGCCTTCTATATGAAAGACATAATATTCTGCAAACTACGGCTTAAATTTACTGCTATCGCAGGGATCGAGCGAGGGCTAATAAAAGGCGGAAACACATTGTCTGTATCAAGCAACATTTTCCATATAGAAGCTGTTCCTTCAAAACTTATTAGGGCTTAGGACGTTTGTGGAGACATCTTAATGGGTATCAATTTTCCATTAGTCGAAGAAGTATTCTGAAGTGAGAGAATGGATTTAAAACTAACGATCTGCTTCGATGGAAATTGGTATACGGCCAATGAGGAGGGAAGGTCAAGCTTTTGCGATGAAAAGAGGACGGAAGACCTCGTTGAGCCGCTGGAATTTAGTAAATAGCCTTCTAAAAAAGCCACGCTCAGTCTTTTCTTCTATGCAATGCTAGCGCACGAACGCGGCAAATGAAACGGTCTAGATATTACTGCTTGATTCTGAATACGTATTTGAAGATTATTTCTAGGGTAGACCTATAATCGTCCTTAGACGGACATGGTCGCTTAAGATGCAGCCCACTAGCTTGTCGTCAGAAGGAAAGATTATAGCTATAGTCACGAGATTATATTTTTATGATTTATGTCAAGACATTTGACACGACGATTCCTGTAACTTAATTATCTCGGCCATTAGGCCTGTCCTCGGTGATTTTCCTAGGACCCGCAGATTCAAACTCCGTCTAGCAAGTATATGGAAGAAGATATCACAGTTTAGCCATTTCCAAGAAGATTTTTTTTATATCAAGATGAAGAATATCTCAAGCAAGACAAGTTGTTCTATCAAATATAACAGAGCCAAAATCTATCATAGATACGACTACGAACTGAGTCGCTTCTTAGCTTCCATTGCTGCCTTATTAACGTCCGAGTATTTGATGCAGATCACCTCGTATGGCTCTATGTCATTGTAGTAACTGAAATAACGCAACACGCAGATGCTATGGATAAGTATTGTGCTTGAAAATATATAGCTTTTTGGGTTTCAGCCTGAAAAGGTATTCAGTGATTTAGCTTACGGTCCTATGTAGTCATGCTTCCATTTAGACGTGCTATAATTTTGTAGCCTATCGAACTATAAAGTTCAGATATAAGATAGAAGATGCATTCTAGTCAATTTAGGCATCGTTTAATACGCATGTTATGGATAATCCGAGTTTTATATTATTATATTAGACTAGAGATGGTTCAACGATACAGGTTAGGGAATAGTTATCACATCGAAACGTCATTACAGCATATTCTCTCAATAATAAACATTCATGCATGGCCGATCTTTGCGGCCACCAAGCGCTATTCTATGCCTAATTTTCACTATTCAGCCAGTAGTAAAGCATCGTGTGCTGAGGGTCATACCGTTACGATGCGGTACTGATACTACTTCAGATTCAATTCTCATAACAGGAAAAAAAAGAGAAAGACAAATGTAAAGAGGCCACACGGATCACAATCTCATGAAACAACTGAAACAATACATCTTAATAATTACCTAATTATATTGTATTGGACTCAGCTAAACCAAACTAATCGTTACTGTGCAAAAGATCAGTCCCTCTTTCAACAAGTCGCGTATGTATACTTGATTCATTCGTTGCACACTCCCTATACAGCATTAAGCAACAACAACAAGAAACACAACGTATTGTAAATCGAGGATGCAATACAGGCCTAACGTACATACATTATGTGGCAATAACACTCATATAGATGCTCGATCTCTTCGAGTTTCATAGACCGCGTCGTGGTTTGTAACTGTCCTTATTGCCTGCCTGCCTGCCTGCCTGCCTGTGACCAAACCAAACGAGTGTAATTACGCCATGTTCAGTGATTTACTCTTCCAGTCAGAGAAATGCATTCTCTGCTACGGTTTGTTGCTTGTTTCATTCGCTCGTCCCTCTGGGGAACTAATAAATGAGCTAGAATATCGCTGCATGAGTACTAAATTGGCGCCCTACTGACAGGCCACGCAATCTCGGTCTGAGCGACTTTCCCGGGTTGTATATACGTACACGCTGTCTAGAATGGAAAATCCTAGACGTCACATCAGAGATCAGCTAAGCACTCTTAGGAACAGGAAAGAGTACCCTTGAATAGAGCAGCCTGTACTGCCGTTGTTGTTGTTGTTGTTGTTTATACAGGGCAACGTGCCGTGACATCATGCAAACGAAATTTTACTGTTACTACTAGCCGTTAAGCCATACGATAATGTGCCATATATTAGCGTAGTACCGGAATAATAGGTACGTGTATACTTATATGTAACGCGTACCGCATGTGAAATGCTGGCTCTCTATACGATATTATACTATATATATATATACATATATACACGAAACCGGTGCGTAAAGTATGGGGATCGAAAACTCCTTATTGAAGACCTATTCTCCCAAGTTACTAAACGACCTATCATCAGATATCTGCAAGAAATACATCTATTCACGAAAAGAACGCGCATTACAATAAGCAGTTATTTAAAGCGCACAGCCAGTTTTAGATATACATTGTTCTAGTTGAACCATCGAATAAGTTCTGCTAACTTTTAATTCGTTACCCGTAAATTCTACACTTTAGTTCTGCTTAACAACTGCTATCCGTCACCTCTAAACAAAATCCTGAACGAAATGAAAGCTTCAAGCGTTTTCTGGATAGAAACCGTCACATGAATGCAGGTAACTATCAACGAGAAACAAACGAATTCCGAGAAAAAAACAAAGAAGTTTCTAAATGTTATGCTACTTACCCTTTGTCATTAGCACTGCCGCCGCCATTTCCGTACGTGCCACTGTATAGATCACTATAACTGGGGTCTTTTTGCCCATGTGGTACATAGTGCCGTTTGAGCAGAAGTGCACAGTCACTACGCTCACCGAAATCACGCGAATCGCTTTCACGCAAACTGTCGGGTTCTTCGGCCAGCGCTGGCCACCGTGCCAATTCCGTCGCGATGACGCAAACCGTTAGAACGAGGCCTGTTGTACGTTCGCTATAGGCTCTACTCAGCACAGGCATCCAGAAGCCTTCGAATAGGCTAAACAAGGAAACGGATATCATGACCGTTTTAATGTTGCTTTTCTTTAGATCATTCGAACGACCCTGTTGTGAATAGTGGGTCGTTTGTCAAGTTCTTAACCCTTTCAGAATTTCTATGGCAAACCACAATAATGACGATGATAGTAGCTTTGAATGGCAAGCAAATTTGTATAGCCATGTATTTATATCCGTATGTGTCTGTCATCTCGAAACTAATTCTAACAGCTATGAGTTCTTGGGACTTTACAGAATAGGCCCGAGTCAGGTAATCGAAAAAAAAAACAGGTAAATTTATTAGTCTGAATATTTATGGGTAAATGTCGGCTGGAGATTTCTATTTCCTGCAAGTTCGATAAAGATGCTTAGTCAAATTGATTCAATCAGGGAGCAGCATACAAGAACCGCGCGTCTGCTAGGATAGATTACTAAAGTAGATCAATTTAATAAAGCTATTTCCAACTAAGAAGCTTATTTACATTAAGGCGACGTGGAAGCTTTGAATTTGCTGTTGTGCCTTGGTCGAGTACTGCCAGACAAATACATTGTTCGTAGGTTTTCTGTGTGATGAGCCTCTAAATTAATCATATGGGACATGCAAAACCTGGAGTTAATCTTCAAATTACACTGATTTATTGTAGAGGATCTCGTTATTAGAATTTTCATTGAAAAATATACTGCATAGCAATTCTGTTTGTACGCGTGTATTAGGGAGTCAAGGAATGGACGAAGTCCGACATCCTGACGATGGTCTGTAAATTACAATTTAAAATGGCGAAAAGGCACAGTAGCTCGTTGATCGGTGATAGGAAACACAAATAGAGCTTCTCCTCGTGTAACATTTGAAAAGATACGATTATTTAGGACATACTATATATAAGTATACAGATCGCAAAGGTATTTTTATTTTGTAAAAAAGCAATTTATTGTCGAAATAAATGCACCTTAATCTATAGGCCTAGTCTCCTAGCATTAAACCCGTCTTTTGCCATCGCTAGACCATTGTGTGACCGAACTGTAAGCCTTTTTTTCACATTGTAAACTTATTTGCGTGCCAGCTATTGTGCAATATTGCCATTACACGAATATAGAACGTTAAGCCTGGCATTGTACCTCATCGTGCATAAAGCATTGTCTTTTTGAGAATGAAATCCTTCATCGATCACCTCGCTGTGTAGTGCGATTTTCGCGGCCGTAGAGCTTCCACCTTTCAGAACTCTTTTAACTGACAATGCACCGAAGCTCCGAAGTCGATGGTGGCTCATATTCAACTATTGTTATATATACATTGATTTAGCTTTTTCGTTGGTTTGCAGGAATGAGCGTTTCACAACTGCTCTCTTGGCGCTTATATAGCCATATTTATCTATTTACATTAAAGTATTTCATTTATTATAGCTCGCCCACCAGTTTCTAACCGGATTTCCTCAAATGACGACAATTCGGCATTTTCTAGTTTCTTGTGGATTTAATTTTATATCGCGCTATATATACATATTTAGTGGACCAAAAAGTCGTTACTTCACATTTTTTAACGTAGCAGGGCATATGTACATGATTTTAATAAAGAGCATGACGTTCTGCAAAAAAATAATACACGGGAAATATTATGGTGTATTTTGAAAATGAAATTGACCAGCGTTTAATTATTTCGCTCAACTAAGTGACTCTTCCTTCTTGCACGAACTTTTTGAATATTCAAATCGTGCGTTTGGGTATCTCTGTAGATAACTATTTTTCAGATCCGATGCTAACAAACGGACTCCCCCCCCCCCTCTCTCTCTCTCTCTATATATATATATACATACATACATACATACATACATACATATACATACATACACATACATACATATATATATATATATATATATATGTTTTTTGCGAGCTTCTGTGTCATCGCGTCTTTCTAGGTCGATATTTTCCCTATGTGTTCTATTTGCTTCTGGTAGAATATCGTTCAGGCTGTCAGTCAGGCACTCCGACTGACGCCCTTATCGTACTTTTTAGCGCGAATCTGGTGATGAGAATATGCCAGAACGCTCGATCGATCGATCCGATTCAAAATCGATTCATCATAGATATTCATTTACATATCCAGATGCATTTACATACACATAAATATCAAATAGGAAGTTTGTCATCCTCCCTCCTCGTCTGTGCTCTTTGCTCGGATCGATTCTTTCTCATCGTTGCCTCTTGCATATAATTCTGCTATCGTCATTGTTAATGCTATTGCAATGACGGTGATTATGATGAGGAATTGAATCGCTCTTTCTGAATGTATTTGCCATTATTTAGGTATCGGCATTCGCTCTCTGTGTGGGTAAACGCATCGCTCGATGTGGGTGAGTACGTATGGGGCATATACTGTTGTATGCACACCAGCGCTCTGCGCACGGGGCGGCGTGTGTGCCTCACCAACAGTGAGATCGCTGCTGTCAGTAGCTCGATAGATCGGCTGACTGAAAAAACAAGCAGTCAAGATACACTGCTTGCTCGGAGGGGGCAGCCAGGTTTGTCCTGACGCTGTAACCTAGGGGATAGAAGCTGCAGCTTGGTTTCCCAACGGACGTTCCGCCGCTGGCGCTGCTGCCGCTGGCGCCATCACAGTTGTGGCAACGCATGAGAGACACCGCACCACATCACACCATAGCACTCTACCACCACTATCATGACGATCATACCACGCCACAAAGTCCGCCATAGTTGTACCCTGAGCCAACGAACAGTCACCTGCTAACATACAAACCAACCACGCAAACGCTGCGCACACCTGTCGCCCCCTGTTAGAAGAAGGTCCCGCCGATATCCAGATGGGAGAGGGCAGGAAGGAGGAGGTGCGGCCCCGCCTTTCATTCCAACTCTGGAACGTTCGGGCTCCGCCCCTGCCTTGGTTCACTTACGCAGCCTTCAACGGCTTTCACTATGCGTTAGCAGGCATCTTACCACGATGGTTCCACGTCGGCGTGCGGGCGGGCAGGCGGACTGCCGCCTGGTACGTCAATGCCGGATGGCCTTCTTTACCTTTGGTGTACCGCGCAGGCTAACTGAACCATGGAGAATTCCAACGACTGGCAGGTGTTCCACCCACCCACGAGCGGTAGGCTAACAGTCTACGCAGGCGCTGAGCAATGCGCGTTTAGCGGAAAAATAGGGGCTGTTCTAGAATTTTATGGTGATCGGCTGCTGCGTCGCAGTAGAACGTTAACGAAAGGGGTAAGGGCGGCCGGTTCGTAAAGGAATCAAAATTACTACAGCTTTAGGTCGCAATGGTCGTATGAAGCCGCCAACAGGAACTTACTTCAGATAGGTCTTCGAGACACGCTTCGACAGGTACTAGCTTTACGATAGCGCCCAGGTTTGTCTGCAATACGGATCATATCGCATACATATTGGCGCTATTACCGTTACCAATATTAGTACAAGGAAACAATTATCGCACTACGATACAAAACAAGAAGTGTCTTCAATGTAAGTAGGCAGCAAAATGAAGAAAAGTGTCGGATGTGGCGCTTTGCGAACTCCGTCACGCGTGAATATCGAACGTGTAACAATAACGTCTATGAGAGATGGGATAAAAAGGATTTGAAAAAGCCTGAGCAAAGAAAAATTAGAATGTCGGCTGGTACAAACCTCAAAAAAAAGCTGATGATTGTCCATCAATAGATAGCTAAAGAGTACAAAGCAGGTAAAATTAAGTACAATCATATTATGAGCTTTTATCGTAGCAGACTTAGTTACTATCGTAAAGAAGAAGCTTGAAAACATCGTTACCGATGCGAACGTTAATCCGTTTTGAGTTTTGAAAAAGCTACGCAGGCCTGTGAAGCACGTTCTAGTTGCGGCGCCTTTATGAATGACAGAAACCTATGCAAAAACAAAAGGTGAAGACTGGTACGGTTGTGACCGTTAGTAGCAAGTGTTGCTTAGTCTAAAACAGACCTACGTACTCGTAGATGACTAGAGTGACCATGCTCCTCCTCGTTGATAACGCGGTAAATGGCTTTGTCGGCTATCACTTACCAAACAGGTCAAATATACATTTCCTTGACTAAACACGTAAAATTTTGATAAATGTGGAACTGACAACATCAACGTCCAGGTGCACGCTATCTAGACAATGTAACAAGTCTGTTTTCAACAAAGAAAAAACGCAGCTCGTCTCATGAGTAATTTTCATAAACTTCATAAAGCAGGATCGCGCTCTTTTACTTTGACAATTTCAGCAACTATCAAAATCACGGCCGTATAACAGCCGATGTGATTTTACATTTTGCTGATAATGCTAGGTTTTAACCTTACCCAGTGCTCGAAATCTGCATCGAAAATGTTGTTGCTTGTACAAAGGAAAGCTTTCGTTGACCATATCTTAGGCACAACGCACAGTATGCCCAGACTCTGCGTTAACGTAAACAGGTCTTCGACAATGGCGAGTACTTCGCTAGGATGTAGCTAGGTCTATAATCTTCTTTAGTTGTTTGGATTGTCTTTGAATTACTCAGGTTAAGCACGTTTCAACGGAGCACTTCAAGGACGATGTGTAAGATAAAAGGTGTTACTAAACTGTGTCGGACATTGTAATTACAACGGATTTATCTGCAAATCAAGCATTTTATAGTGTTATGCTTAGGATTATGCGCGTGCTAATTGAAGTCGATGGCTCGATCTTAGCGTATAGCTAGTGTTGAGCTCAGATATCTTACAAGTTATAAACGCATTTAAAAAATCGACAACTAGAAATGAAGGACAGTGGGCAAAAAAATCAGTGATATCTTTCTTCGGCTAAATCGTACTCGGATAATAACATGTTTTTCGTATTTTGCGTCCGTTACTTCAACCATAAGAAGTTATTTTAGACGGCCGGCCACCAGCACGAAACAAAACGGTGTGTCAACGCCCGGATTCGAACCTAAGCCATCACGTATTCCTTTTTGGCGCAGCTTGGACATGACGTTAATCTAGATCGCTGACTAGCGACAGAAAACCGCTTCTCGTTCCATACGAACTTAGCAATAAAAACACACAAAAAAAAATAGTGCAGGTTCTGAAAAATGTAGGCCACTAGGATTGTTGACTTTATCCCACTCTTTGTTTTTTTCTCTGGTTCGTTTCTTCTTTGAACACTTTTTATCGCTATGTAGCACGAAATTGACTTGCATAGTACACGAATCTATATTATCATAATTTAAGAAAAACTTCAATAACCGTTTTATCTGACACCATCTTGCGATACGTATTTCGATAAATCCATATATTTAAAATAAGACGAAACCACTATTCTAGCTAAATTTTAAATGTAAGGTTTTATTGGATATTTGTCGTAAAGCTTTTTTTTGACTTCTTTGCCTCGGAATGTACTTTATAATCTAGATATTTTTGTATTAACGTAGTAAGGGATCATGACGTTTCTTCTAAGATTTATGAAAATGGGCGAGTTTGGGCTTGTGGAAGCCGTCACACGTTATCTGAAAGCTTCTCGGAACGTCTTTGAGGATGGATTTTTTTTTTATATCCAAGATGCTTTACTATATAATAGCCTGGACAGAAGCCAATTGACACTCGTTTTGATGAAATATATTCAATAATATTCGTCCAACTGCGATTAATCTCGCATCGCTTTACGTTTCTTGTAAAAAAAAAAGACCAGTAGAAAAGAGAACACTGTAAGCCCATCTTTGCGAGTTCTTTCTTATGTATAGAGTATATGTTAAATAATGTCTAATATATAGAACATAAGTAATGTGAATACAGGTGGATAACTTTATTCCTTCCGTTACAACGGAACACGTCCTTTTAGTGTAAAATCTAACTATGCTCTCACTTTTGCCATGAACAAGTAGGTCTAGCTTAATACATTTTTTTAAAAACCAAAGCATAAAAGCAGACGGAACAGGCTATGTATATTCGCTTCAAATGAGGTTAATGTACAGACATGCTTATTCAATTAATCCTTGCACTCACCGTCCCTTCCGTTTCTCCATTCTCTTCGTACTACAATCGACGATACTTTTCTGTGGATGACGCGTATTTTTACTCGAAAAGCAATGTTTTATCACCGCAATATGTGGATTGTTTTTGATCTTCAAAGGGCTGACGAACTCGAATATCCGTCAAGGACGAATGCAGAAATGTGAAATTTTCCCTAATTTTAGCATGGCTAGACGTGACTTATCCTGTCACGTTTGTAATTCGCCGAAATGTATCTTTTCTTAAAGAGACCGGTCTACCACAGTCTTTCCTTAAATAGGCACCGATTCCGTGAAGAAGGCAGGGTCGTATAGTGGCCAGGCCAGACGGAGAGCACATCAGAACAACATGATAAAATGTCGACTGAAGCCTGCCATGGTAGAGGCAGCTCGAGCTCGATCACCAAACTACTGAATGCTAAATTGTTTGTAGTGACTCTGGCGGCGCCACTGGTCTTAAAATCTAGTTGCCAATTGACAAGAGAATAAAGGAACAAAACTACGATGTGGGTGATGTAGCGATCCTGGTTGAGTTTAGCGGCTTCACGCTTTACTGACTTCGTTTTGGCAAGAACATCCGATGTTCGAAGCGAGTCGAAACTTCCATACTATGCAATGGACCTGACCAATTGACTGGGAAAAAAACAGCCTGCTTAGTGAGCCGAATCCGAACATAGGGAACCGTCGAGGCGGCATAAGCGTCTCATTTTTTCTACCAAGTGGCGTCTGGGACAAATTGCCAGCTTTGTTAATATCCACAGTCACATGCTGATGTAGAGAGACTACGTCTTACCAGCTACAGACCGCCCTGTCGAGTAGAGCGTTCACATACACCCAGATCTCTATTGATCGAGAAACCGAAAATGTTCACAAAGAGATCTATTTAAGCCAATGGATTTTACTTTTATCCTACAGAAGAAGCTTCAACAAGCACTAAAAAATAGGCAAAACTTAAAATCGTTCGGGCGAAGATAGTCTTCAGCTTCTTTGTATGCTTAGCTTAGTTCTCAAGCTACTAGTCAATGTCCAACAACAGTAGGAAAAATTGTCTTACGCTCACATCGAGCTATTATAGCTTTACGCTTCCTTCGTGCCGGTCTTAGATTTTCATGTAAGTTAATTAAACACTCTCTTTCCCTTAAGTCTAAATGATTGTTAATGTATAAATCCTTGTTAATGCATAGAACTAAGTGGAATCAGTGTGAGTTAGACATACTGTGCTAGCAGTGTAAAATTCAAATATTTCGCTCATGACCCATCAACGGCTCCTGGATCCGATAAGCCGGACTTGCTTTATCGATATTACATAATATATATTTAGGAGATAGGTTTGCGTCCAAAGAGATAGCGTCCAGCATTAGTGCTATGAAGTGATTGATGAAGGCGCTGTTGAAAATTCAGTAACATTGAAGTCGATGAATGAAGTTCCTTATCATTTCACTTGTTCATTTTCCTAATTTGCGCACGTTAGTAACTGCCACGGTGCTGACGTGTACCTCGCACACACACGTATCGAGTGAGAGAGCGAATGGCATCTTCAACCCTCAATATAGCTTATTTGATTTGAGCAAAACTGTATTTTTCTAAATAAAAGTATTTTAAATTGTAATTTAAGTTGAGGGTTGTTCTAATCCTGATGAATCGCAATTCTGATGTAAATTTCAAAGCTGTCGTTCCGATTTAAGCTAAGCAAAAACAATGAAATAAATCAATTCTAATATCTTCAAATTTACCCAGTATCGCATATTTTATTAGCGCTTTATACTCTCATGTAGCATGCGGTAGCATGTAGCTCCTACATGCTACCGCTGCTCTCTAGAAAAGAATATCGCTAGTGGGTGTAGGTTAATTTAGTGTGGGGTCCAAGCGTAGAGTGTTACATATTTAGGGTGGCATCATTCACTGATAGCTGGACTGTCGTCTAAAAGGAAGCGGTACCGGGAAACAACTGGAACTTGGTCTAAGAATGGCTTTGCTTCACCTTTCTCTGTCGGAGCTTGCAGTAATCCTCATTGAACTGTGAAGGAAGTTCAACATGGTCGACTCAGAAATCATTCACTTACTCTAAAGGCCGCTCACCAGCTAGGTTAGGATTGTTATTCTAAGAAGTTCCTTCAAAGTAGAACACTGGTTTATGCACACTTTTTTCAATGACGAGAATTTCGTCTGACTGTAATTGTCACCCGAAGTCTTCTAACATTTATTTGTTTACCGACCAGTAGAATGGAAGCTAGGCAAAGCCAATTACGGGAGAATGAATTGTCATATATAATATACTATGATAAAAGTTTCTTCCTGAACAAGTGTTGATCGCTAAAACAAGCCTAATGTAAGGTAACAGCTGGTTGTCAGAACTTGGAATCACAGTTCGCGTCACACTACCGGTAGACAATAGTAAACATTTGAGAAGGCTGCGGAAGATTTCTTAGATCTATCCTTCAACGAAACATTGTTCTATGGTTTTCAGAAAACCTTTTATTACCAATTACAGTATAAAGTTTACGAGTGACTAGGTAGACTTTCTGCGTCGCGCTGCGACTCTTCAGTAACGTATTGTTTTTATAAACAATCGTACGTATCCGGAACTAACTGTACAATCAGTACTTTTGGCATATTCGAAAACATCTTTTCTTTCATAAATACAGTTCAGCGCATGTTACGCACATATTTGTATTTGTTGAAGTTCGGCCGGTTAGCAACAGGTCAAAGGGGTCTATCATCATATATATATATATATATATATATATATATATAAGCATCAATAATAAGAATTTAACAAAAAATTCGGCTTCTTCTTCGCTATGTATATGTAGTAACTCGAATTAGAGACAATGATTAAATAGTTGTAGGAACCATAATAAAATAAAATATAATGGTACAAAATGGTAGAAAAAGGAACGGAGACGTTTTTACAGTATTATTGGGATAAGGATGCATCGTAGTGGATAACACAATCGTCTAGTCAACGAAGTAATTGAAGGCTAGCAAATCTTGTAATATAATCGGCAGAATAAGGTAACATTTGAAATTAGTTGTAGAAGACAGTAGAATCCCGGATGACCATTCTCCAAGTTCTCACATATTATTCAATTTCGCGTTTCGAAACTACAGCGGGCCTGACTGCTCTTTCCCTAAGTTAACTGATGCACACCTGGATTTCCACAATATGAACACCCCTCATCGGAGCGGATAGCTTCTGTTAAGAATAAAGAGCGGTGAATTTGGCCGGGCGCGCGTAGGACTACAATGATCGGCCTTACTTAACATCAAAGCGATAAACTAGCACGCGCAGCTACTCTTGTCAACCTGGTCTATCGACCTGTTGGTTGTCCTTAGCTACTTTCGAATAGTAGAGCACTCGGCTTTACCAGGGGACGAAGGTAACAGCTTTTACGGAAACAGCTCGCGTCGGAATGTTCTTAGTTGACAAGCTTACCAAGCAATGGGGCGGTTTCGATTAGCGGCGTCAGTGACGTCTTTTTTTGTGCGTGACCGTCAAAGCCTTCAGTGCGTAATAGTCGACGTTCCAACTTTACTCAATGACTGCTGCGTTCGCCGGCCATTTACTTTATAATCTAATTAAAATTGTTTAAAAGTGCTTGAAACGGAGTGCGTTTATAAAGGTGTTTGATTTACATAATATAGTTACTAAAGCAAAAATCTTGCAAAAATAAATGAGGGTAAAAGGCGTAAAACAAATAACAGGACCAGTTAGCGGGTTAAGGAACATCAGAGGGTAGTAGTTAACTAATATCAGCCCGGTAAAGCTTCTGTCGTAAAGTGAGCTTTTGGTACGCTTCGCGCTTTGAGAGTCGCGTATAGATCGTAACGGCAAAAGTCCATGTGTGATCCTATCTGCCTAGCCTTCCTAAATGCTTAAAAGTCCGTAGACGATGAATGTAGATACCGCGTAAACTAACGACACTTCTCCAAAATAATTAGAAAATCACACAGAATGATGACTTTTTGAACGTGCCGTGTTAATCATGCGACTACCTACTGCAGTATACTGCACGTAGGACTAATTACTTGAATTATGAGGAGTTGCGTGCCGCTCATAGAGAATGCCCAACTTTTGGAAGCTCATAGTTCTATAAAATGTTATTGTATTTAAATAATTTAAAATGGACATTTCTTGAACGGTGGTCCGACTGACTCTAGGTTAATTAGTTGAGGAGAAAAGCACTTCGGGCTTAGTTTACCAGAGCTTAAACTTAACAAGTTATTATCTGCTATATTGGCGCAAAAGCAGTGTTTTCTTGCATCTATACAATTTGCATATGCTGTTCTAATGAGCATGGTTAGGCAGGCCGAAAGCTGCCATAGGACTTGGCACATATGATCTGAAGAAATGCATTCGTGTCTTAAACTTATTCCTAGATTTTTTATACTATCCGTCTGGGCGTACCTGAGCCTATACGAACGTCATGTGTGGGTTCCATATTTATAAGCCATCGTGATACGCTTTGTCGCTCCAGCAGTTAGCTGGCTAGAATCGTGACTTATGAGCTCTTACGTGATACTCTCTGTGAGCGCGTGCCCAAAAGTGCGTTTAAAATCACATAGAACTCGCCAGGTACTCGAATCACGAAGATTATTAGATTGTATTTGCTTTCCTTGGACACCCATCCGATCTATTGTACCCAGATGATTTTGAAATGCCGCGTTTATGATGTAAATACATCAGTAAATAAGTTTTATAGCGCTCCGCCACTAAGCGTACTTGTGGGGGTGAGATTTGGTAAACATACATGAGGAAATTTATATGCTCAAGCCACCACCCCGTTCCTGATCAATACACTGTTGCATTGCTATCAGCATAGTGCTGATCTGGCAGAGAGTTAACAGACAACAAACCCCTTCACATCACTTAGGGGTACAATAATTCATAATTCGTGGGTTGAGATGCTATCGTTCCTGTTTAAGCGCCGCCTATATGCCACGTGTGCTTTTCTACGTACCAATTCAGTGGGAAGTTCAAATATGTGTTCAAACAAAATCTGCTGATATTCATTCATGATGTATTATAATTATTATCATCAAAATACTAATAATAAAGGAAAATAGTTGAAATTGGCAAGAGTTCAGACTGAACTCTTGCTTGAAATTATTCTAATATTATTTT